AGGTTATTTCATGTCAAGTTTTTTAGAAGTTTTTATGATGATACCCCTTAATGTCGGATTTTGGTACCTTATGGACCCACGGGTGCATCTTTTGCCCCCAGTGTGGTGTGTTATAGGTCAGGTTTAGATTTGGTTCAGTTCTCTCCCATTTAGGGATTGCTTGAGTTATTTTGAGCATATTATGACTATTAGCCTAAGTTTTTTGATATCAGATATGTCTATACAGTTTATTCACTATTAATGTTTGGATAAATAAATCCCAAATGGGTAAATATCCAAAATATTATTAGGAATAAAGAAATCTCAAATGAATAAATATCCAAAATATTATTAGAAATATTTTGTTATTATTCATTAGTAATATTTGGATAAAGAAATCCCAAATGAATAAATATCCAAAATATTATTAAGAATAATTTGTTATTATTCATTAGTAATGTTTGGATAAAGAAATCCCAAAAAGGGCTGATATCCAAAATATTATTAGGAATCATTTGTTATTATTTACTATAAATGTTTGATAAAGAAACCCTAAAGAGGTTAATATTTAAAATATTAGTGGGAATAATTAGCCATTGTCCACTGTTAATATTTAGATAAAAAAACTCCAAGTGGTTAATATGAAAAAATATTTTTTTAGGAATAACAAGTCATTATCCCTTAATAAAATAAGGGCAAAAAAAACATATGAAGGGAATCATTATCCCTTAATAAAATAAGGGCAAATGTCCAAAATATTGTTAATAGGGATACAACTTATTTATTTTTAACATAAGGGTAATTTGATGCCTAAAATTTTATTTAGAACAATTTAATTGCATATCCTTGAAAGAAGCCTTAATTATAATTGAGGGCATTTTAAATTTTGATTCCACAGTTTATAAATCATGAAAATATGAAATACTAAGGCAAAAATAGGCTTTTAAAGCACCTTGAATTTTCTTAGATTTCTAATTTAGTTTATTTTCCATTGAGGGCATTTTAAATTTTGATTCCACAGTTTATAAATCATGAAAATATGAAATACTAAGGCAAAAATAGGCTTTTAAAGCACCTTGAATTTCCTTAAATTTCTAATTTAGTTTTTTTTTTCCTCTTCCTTGCAATTTATGAGTCATAAACACTTGAAATACTAAGGAAAAATAAGCTCTTTATGAGTCACAAACACTTGAAATACTAAGAAAAAATAAGCTCTTAAGCACATTGAATCTCCTTAGATTTCTAACTTGGTCGTTTCTAAATTCATAAATTCTAAATCTATTTCAAATCAAACATAAACTTTAAGAGATCTGTATCATTTCTCTTTGGCACTCTATAGATATATTTAAAGGTATGGTCTATATTGGCCAAGGGTTCTTTCCCTTAGATTTTGAACCCAAGTTTATTCGTCAGAACAAACTTATCCTAGAAAACTGATAGGATTAGAAAACATCAACACCATAGCAATTATAAGGCAAACCAAATATCAAGCAGCTTATCTTAGATAGGGCGTACTAGGGGTGCTAAAACCTTTCCTTTACGTAACCAGTCCCTTACTTTAGAATCTCTAAAAAACCAGTTAGGTTTTCTAGTGAACATAATACTAGGTGGCGACTCCTTTTTTTATAAAAACAAAAATCCCGAAATCAATTCCCCGCTTCGGAAAGGGTTACCACGACGTCAAGCTCTCACGAGGGTACGACAATGGTGTTATTGAACGCAGACATGGACATTTACTCAATGTAGCATGCGATTTATTTTTGTAAGAAAATCTTTCAAAATAATTTTTTTATAAGTGAACCCTTACATTAATTTCTTATTAATTGTACACTTATACCTTTTTTTCATGGTAAAACTCTATTTGAAAAATTATTTTAAAAGGAGTCAAATCTTGGTTAAAAGTCTTTGATTGTTTATGTTTTGCATCTATACATGTTAATTATCGTACCAAATCTGATCTCTTAGCAACTCGTTACATATTTATTAGCGACCCTCATGATTGAAAAGGAAATCATATGTTTGATCTTACACTATAAAAGGTTTTAGTCTTATGAAATATCATTTTCTTTGAGGATATATTTTCCTTCTAATCCATCAATCATTTTTCTATCCCATATCTTCAACTACACTCACCCATATTTTTACTCTACTTTAATATGGATTCCTTCTTAATAACAAATTCACCAATCTATATCGGTAATGTTTCTAGAACCTTTTCCATCACTGAAAATCCTGAATCAACTTTACTATCCCAATACTTTGATCTAACTCTATAGTATCATCCATCACCTACCTTACCTCCAGTATCATTTGTTATACCACCACCATCACTTCATCATTCCACATAACCCACTAAGCTCCTTATATTTTTATATAATTTTTATGTCAATGCAATGTTTCCTTTTAAGATTTTCTCATTCTCTTTTATGAACATGGTCATGGCATCATGTGTTGTCTACCCTTTCTTATTTTTTAATTATGATCGCCTTCCCTCAACTCACAGAGCCTTTACAACACAACTTATCATTTTTATAGAATTAACTAGTTTTTGACAGGTTGTTTAAATCCAAAATGGTGCCAAACCATGCATAATGAAATCTAACCATTTCAAGCCAACACGCATCTAAATTTTTATATCTTTACCGCCTTATAAAAGATTTATTAGTTGCAAATGGATTTATAAAATCAAGCTTCATCTCGATGACATTATTGAGAGGTACAATGCTCAATTCAAAATAAAAAGGTAATGGTTAAATTACAAGTGTTGATTATCAAGAAACACTTGTTTTGATGGCCAAATCAACCATTATCCTTGTGCTACTTAACATCGCTACAATTTAAAAAAGACATTTGCACAAAACATGGTTAATGATAATGGTTCATCAAGTTGTCAAGTGCTCTTATATATGATAGGTTTCATCAATCATATTTTGACTACTTATTATTTATTTAAAACCACTTAGGCAACTTCATAACATTATTAGTTTATATTGATAACATAATATTGATAGAAAATAACTTAGAAGACATTACAAACACCAAATAATATCTTTCAAGTCATTTCAAATTAAAGGATAAGGATAAACTCAAATACTTATCGGTTATAAATGTCACATGCTCAAATCAAGGAATCACATTATATTAAAGAAAATATGCACTAGAAATTTTAGAAGAATGACACTTTTGATGCACAATCATTGAGCATAACTTATCACTCATATGATACATGCTTTCCAAGTGAAAAAACTTCGCGATTATTTAGATACATGCTTTCCAAGTGAAAAAACTTCACGATTATTTATTGAGCATAACTTATCACTCATGCAAACAAGCATGAAGCCATTAATTAGTCCATCTCCATACCAATGACTTTTGGGTCAATTGATTTACCTCTCCATAACAAGACTTGATTTGGTTTATGTTATTCATGTATTGACTAAGTTAACCACATTTCAAAGTTGCACACAAGGTCTTTAAGTACATCAATCAAACATATGAACAAATTTTATCTGATTCAACACCAATTTATTAAAAGGAAAATAACCAAGACATTCTGTCTTATCCAAGTGCAAGGGTAGAATATCAATCTATGACTGATAATCATTGTGAGATTACTTGGTTTAAAGTTATATTGACATATTTTGTGACAATTAAGCTATTATACACATAACTTAAAATCAACTAGTCAACATATTCACCAAGCCATTTAGTTTGGTATAATTTGAAATACTACTTAGTGAGTTGATTGTCATTTTAGTCAACTTAAGAGGGACTGTTAAAGGAAAGAATCTCATATAATAAGTTGTAAAATATTGTAATTGGTAATTGATTACTTATTTTCTATTCTTGTATATGTCTATCTACAATTACGTGCAATAAAAAATATGTTTGGTATATAAAGATATAATCTTGGCATTGTGAGTGAATCAATAAATTATTCCTCACTAACTATGTTTCTTTATAGAAATCATTTGTATTTTGAAATGAATTTAAAATAAAATTAAATATCTAAAAATTATAAACAATAAATAAAATTTTAACATAATTAGCTATAGTAAAAAGGAGAAATTAATATTGAAAATTAACTTCTCTAAAATACATCATCGTTAAAATCTCAACTACACCATCACCAAAACACTCTATTTTTTTGTTTAATCTCTTTAGATCATATTGTCTATCCTTAATTTACATTAAAAATAAATATTTAAATTTGATTTTATGCATAATTTACATGAATGAATATTAAAGATAGAAAGAAGGGGGATTTATGGTGGTTGAAGCATGAAAGAGATGTGTTATTTATTATGGAAAAATATCTATAGAATTGAAAGATCCTGTGAATGAATAAAATGATGAAGAAGATGGAAGTAATATAAATAACTGTGAATGAATAAAATGATGAAGAAGATACGATGAAGAAGATGGAAGTAATATAAATCAATAAATAAATTTAAGTTTGATATCAAATATATAAATTAATTTTTTTTATTAGTTAAATTAAATTAAATACTATAATTAAATTTAGTTTTAATAATGAATTGATTTCAAATACAATGTTAAGAATATAAAATAAATTTTATAATAGAATTGGTTAAAACATAGTTCATAAGGACTTTTAAAAATATTTGTTATTTTATAACATAAACTGTCGCATGGCAAGCAAAATCCAGCACTTTTTGTATAGAAACCTTATGCAGCACCAAAGCATAACATAATGTTCCACCTAGGCTGTGGGACCACCGAGTCTTCACTCAACACACCATGATCTCACCACGTGTCAGGAAACATGTCCATCAAATCATACAGGCACTTGCACCTAACCCCTCTTACTCATACCCGCCTCCACCTGCCAAAAGAAAATAACCCCATGCCATCTCTACCCCTGAACAACCCCATATAATTACACCCCAATGCCATTTCCGTATGTAAATCGCATTATCCGTATACTCAAACGGTATTAAATATCCGGTTATCAATTACAGTGCTAATAAATCAAAAAAATAATTTATAGCAATGGATAGTTAGGAAGCAAAGCGGAAAAGCCCAAAATACCCCCATTCCATCCCCTAGATACATGCCGTAAAACCTCTCCTTTCCCTCTTCTATCTTTCTCGTAATCTCTCTTTCTTTACTTTTTTTGTTCCAGCTTCGTGTCGGTGACAGATCTTGCATTTCTCTACACTCAAAAACCCTCACAAACACACTATAATTTAATTTCTTTTACAAAATTCAAAATACGGATCTACACGCAAACCCGAAAGCAGTTTCGTTTTGTTAACTCAACAGATTATTATTATTATTATTATTATTATTATTATTATTATTTTGTGTAGGGTTAGCTAGAGGAGAGATTGATGGAATAAGGAATGCAAGAAGAGGTATTCTCATCGTTGTTGTTGTTGTTGTCAAAAAGAGACGGTGGCTGTTGATTTATGATAGTTACTGATATTATATTGGAGGGAGGGAATTTGGAGCTTGGGATTGGGGGAGGAAGAAAATTGGAGGAGGAGTGCATGAAGGGATTGGTCTTGAATGTATGCTCGGTTAAGGATTCGAGGAGGATAAGGTGGGATTCTGGTCTTGTAATAAGGAGCAGAGGTAGATGGGGCAAATGCGGTTGATCAACTTTGATTGATCAGGATTTGTAACCTGTTTTATATATAATTCAAACGAGTTTCAGATTTTAGAGGCCGGAAAAAAAAATTTAGTCGAAATTTTAGGATTGGAGAACAAAAAATATGCAGCAGCAAGATCATAGAAAAAAGGTGAAATTAAGATTGTTTAATTTGTTTTGGATGTTAATTTTAATAATTTGACTCAGAATTGACTGTTTTCTGTGCTGTGTGGTTTTTTATTTTCATGTTTAAAGGTTTTTTTTTGTTAAGATAAGGAAAGCATCATTCTGGAATTATATGAAGAAATTTATGAATAATTAAGAGTTGGGATTTTTTTGGCAGATGCAATTATTCTGTGTGGTAGCTAAACCGTGTAGCAATTTGTTTGATTATCTACAAAAAAAAAAAAGAGAATGGATTTATGTTTTTGTTGTTCTCTTCTATGGGAGATGCAGTTGACAATGTTATCCACTAACTTAAATTCTTATGCTCATCTGTGATTTCATTAGATGCCATTTTTATGTATTCTTTTTCTATATATCTATCTTCATGTGGATTTGATTCGCTCTCGTTTAGTAGATTTTTTCATTAACTGATAGTTTTTTTTCTTTTTTCCCCGTATTAAGCTATTTGGATTTTTTTGCTCCTCTTCATCTTATGTGTAAAATGTTTTCGACTTGGTTTTGCTTTCCTTCTATTCTGATTTTGTACAAGTGGAAATCCATGAATTGTCTATTTCGAGGGTGTAAATGCAATTTTTCGGTGATTTTGAGGCTGCTAGATTGATGTTATGTTTGTTGAGATAGCTGTTCTAATTGATTCTGGGTTAGGAAGTATGAACTTGCAAGAAGTTGGTTTAGTAATTATATCCATTGCATTTCATCTTATTATTTGGGAAGCTACTGAACTTCTGTGTAATGTGTTTATATTTTCAAATTATTTGCATTGTATTCCTTTTCTTTTCCTCCTTTCCATGCTTTTGATGAATTCCAATTTTGTACCCCACTGTTATAATCCTTTCAAAAGAATAAAACAAGGGTTTTGATCTCATGGAACCACAGGAAAATAAAGTGAAAATTGAGGTGTGGGGGACAAACACAATCTTTATAAAAAAATCACTTTTGATTGGATTATTCTTTGTTTATTGCATTTGAATAAGAAACTTCCATGTTCATAATAGTTACAATATGGGTACCATTTAATTCAATTTTATTTAAGTAATAAGATGTCAGATTTATTCATCTGAAGTGCCACATGCTGGAATATAGTTGCGTATGATTTGGATATGTACACAGTTCTATTTGATCTAAGACTCACTGGCATTGATTTTCATGCTGTTGAATATGGTAAAAGAAGATAGCAAATAGGTGATTAATTTTTCATAGATGATTACTGTCATAAAGTTGGTAGAAATGCATAGAAATATTTATTGATCTAGTGTAATGTGTTATTATTCCAAACTGACTTGGGTTCCAATGTCACAGAATTCAACTGAAATGGACTTCTTCTCAGAATATGGTGATGCCAATAGGTACAAAATTCAGGAAGTTATCGGGAAAGGCAGTTATGGTGTTGTTTGCTCTGCAATTGACACTCACACTGGTGAGAAAGTGGCAATAAAGAAAATACATGATATTTTTGAACACATTTCCGATGCTGCTCGTATATTGCGTGAGATAAAGCTGCTTAGGCTCCTAAGACATCCTGATATTGTGGAAATTAAGCACATCATGCTACCACCTTCAAGAAGGGATTTTAAGGATATCTATGTTGTTTTTGAGCTCATGGAGTCGGATCTCCATCAAGTCATCAAAGCCAATGATGACTTGACACGAGAGCACTATCAATTTTTTCTTTATCAGCTACTTCGTGCATTAAAGTATATCCACACAGGTACTATACTGTTTATTGCTTTAATTGGAGCTTTACTTAATTCCAGAAATAGGTTGACAATTTGCATTCAGCCACCCTTTCCTACTGTATTGGTATGCTTTGGTGACTGGTTTCCTTGTAATATAATTGCTCTGTCCTCATCTACCTCTTTCTTTGTTATGACTCTTATTCCTCATCTACCTCTTTCTTTGTTACGACTCTTATTTCTGTTTGTTGAGAATGTGGCATGTATCTAATTCTTATCCACTTGGCTCCAGCAAATGTTTATCATCGAGATTTAAAGCCAAAGAATATATTGGCGAATGCGAACTGTAAACTTAAAATCTGTGATTTTGGGTTAGCAAGAGTTGCTTTCAATGATACACCCTCAACAATATTCTGGACGGTACTCTTCTAAGATATTAAATCCATCATGCGCTTTCTAATAGGAACTGGGAGCCTTTACTTTGAATTCTTGTTGTACATTTACAGGATTATGTTGCTACAAGGTGGTATAGAGCTCCTGAACTCTGTGGGTCTTTTTTCTCAAAGGTATGACCACATATGATTTTCAATTCATAGGCTTGACATTTTTGAAGTTAAGTTAAAAATGTTAGTTGGCGCCCTGGATTGCAGATGGAAAATGATTTTTCAGAACCATTTTCTTGTGTTAATGCTGAAAAGTGATCCTTTAATTTGAGTATTGAGGCTTAGATGTGATACTGCTATTGTTTGGAAAAGGAAGCAATGGTAGCTGTGGTTCTCTCTTAATTTTCCTTATGTTCAATTGTGTGTAGTGGAATATTTCCATGCTCCATCATGCATTGATGGATGTTTTGAGTTGTTGGTTCATAATTCTGAGGGAGGTAGCTGTGGTTATCTCTTAATTTTCCTTTTGTTCAATTGTGTGTAGTGGAATATCTCCATGCTCCATGCATTGATGGATGTTTTGAGTTGTTGGTTCATAATTCTGAGGGTGAGAGCCAGAGTGGATTGCCTGTCAACGATTTATTATAAACAAAGTTATTGTTCTGTAGAAAAAAACTGTAAAGTCTTAGTTTTCTTCTTTCAAAATAACTCTGTTAACAGTTTTTTATTTTTTTTCAATGGCACTGGTTGCAGTACACTCCAGCAATTGATATATGGAGTATAGGCTGCATTTTTGCTGAAGTGATAACAGGGAAACCTCTTTTTCCTGGCAAAAATGTTGTTCACCAGTTGGACTTAATGACTGATCTACTTGGTACGCCGTCATTAGATACAATCTCACGGGTGAGTGCAAAGTTGTGATAAATTTTGTGTTTTTCTCTTGACATGCTCTTGCTCAACCTACATTAAAAACACTCCCCCACAACCGTAGTCCTGCTAGAAAAAAAACAGAGAAATGCTTGCTCAAAAACACTAAAAAACACAAAATGAACATAACTTGTATATTTTATTGTGTTACTCTTTTTTAATCTTTTATTATGAATTCAGGTTCGAAATGATAAGGCAAGGAGATACTTAACTAGCATGAGGAAAAAGGCGCCTGTTCCATTTGCACAGAAATTTCCAAATGCAGATCCTTTGGCACTATGTTTGTTGGAAAGGCTGCTCGCATTTGACCCGAAAGACCGGCCGACTGCTGAAGAGGTGTCTTCCTCTATAAAATTATTAACTTTCTGAGCTTTTATGCCATTCCTCACCCTTGTTGCTTGTCTTTTCTGCATTGCAATCATATCACTGCATCCTATTCTCTCTTGATCTTTTAATATGGCTATAATCTGTCGAATTCTTTTGGCCTGCTTATATTTATTAGGCGCTGGGAGATCCTTACTTTAAGGGATTGGCAAAAGTCGAGAGGGAGCCTTCCTGCCAACCAATAACAAAGATGGAGTTTGAGTTTGAGAGACGGAGAGTTACAAAGGAGGACATACGAGAGCTAATCTTTCGGGAGATACTGGAATACCATCCTCAACTGCTCAAGGACTATGCAAATGGAACTGAGAGGACTAACTTTCTCTATCCAAGGTTCTAGCTTTTGGGACTTTCTTTTGTTTTATGCATTTTTTTTGGCTTTCAAAGATGGGATATGCAACTATCTTTCTGCTTCCACTTTCCCCTGATTTTTGGTGGTGTGGACAGTGCGGTTGATCAATTCAGAAAGCAGTTTGCGCATCTTGAGGAAAATGGTGGTAAAAGTGGGCCTGTAATTCCACTTGAAAGGAAGCATGTATCTCTTCCCAGGTAAAATATATCCAGGCATCATCTGTTGTATTCTTGTTTTTTGCTATGATCTTCTCGTTTTTGTTGCCTGCTTTTTTCAGGTCATTTTTTGTATAATAAGTAGGGATCAGAGGGAGGTAGTGATGATGTTACCAGTTACTTTTTGAATCATCATGAGATTTTGCATTCTATCAGTTTCTTCTTAACTTCAAAGTTTTCACCATTTGTTGATAGCAGAAAGTCAGTGATGACCTTAGTGAAGACTGTTGTAATGGTCATCAGATTTTGTGTTCTTTCAATTTCATCTAAACTTTTAAGTCTTTCCCGATTGTTGAGAGATACAAGTGTTGGGACAAGCCCAACAAGAAGATGGCACGTTGTTGTAGTAGTTGGGGCATGTGATGTTCTTTATGATATGAAGTGGCAGTTTTGGCCGTATTGAAATTAGTTTGATGTTGCACTGAATTGTTAGCTATTGTGTTGCATTCATGTTGTGGAAGTAATTGAAAGCAATTGTTGGAAGGATGAATAGATTGATGTGTGATCTTTGGAGTTAGATTATTTGTCCTGATATGTGTTGTGTTTAGATGGTTTGAAGGATCTGTCTCTTGTCAGATAACTTCTACAGGACAAGATATTTGGTTTTGATTCTGTATTGTGCTTCAGAGATTCTTGGGGGAGTTTATTTTCTGGATTTCAGCAAGACTGCAAAGTCTTGTAGATTTGAATGTTCTTATTTTTCTTTTCTTTTCAAGTATTTCTCGTTTTATTACGTATTCCCCAGGCTTCAAAGTATTTTACTGGCAGTCAGGTTAATTTTTCTCTGACCTTTGAAAGATATGTGCAGGTCTACAGTTGTACATTCAAGCTCAATCCCTTCCAAAGAACAACAGAACCTTGCTTCCTTCAAGGACAGGCACTCCACAGAGGAAGTGTATAACAAAAACCCCCGAGACGCTGAAGGAATTCCCGTAAATATATCAAGGACCTTGCAGGCACAGCAGAGAATTCCACTGGGTACTATACTCGTGTTGCCCACTGTTTTTCTACTAAATGGATTACGTTTTACATTTACAGTGTAATAATTCATTGCATTTGCCTCTGTAGCTAAACCTGGAAAGGTTGTGGGGTCAGTTGTGCCATACGAGAATGGAAGCATCAGGAAAGATGCGTATGACCCAAGAACATACATGAAAAGTACAGTCCTTCCTCTGCAGCCTGTTCCTTCTGCATATTGTTACCGCAAATCTAGTACAGGAAAGCTAGAACGATCTACCATGGAAGCTGAAAGAGACCTGTCCTCGCAAAAGCAAGTCCATATTGTTACCGCAAATCCAGTACAGGAAAGCTAGAACGATCTACCATGGAAGCTGAAAGAGACCTGTCCTCGCAAAAGCAAGTCCAGCAATGTGGCATGGCTGCCAAATATGCTCCAGATGTTGCTATCAACATCGACTCCAACCCATTTTTTATGACAAGGGTGGGAGGGAGCAAGGAAGAGCATGTGGATGACCGGGTGATGATTGACACAAGTTTGCTGCAGACCAAGTCACAGTATGGTGGTATTGGTGCTGCAGCTGCTGCGACCGCATCTAGAGCTGCTCACAGAAAGGTCGGAACTGTTCAATATGGTATGGCAAGGATGTACTAGAAAAGGACTGAGGAGATCCACTTGTCTTGAGTATAAAAGTGGAAAAATTCCAAGATTCGTTATGTACTAGAAAAGGACTGACGAGATCCACTTGTCTTGAGTATAAAAGTGGAAAAATTCCAAGATTCGTTCTAGGAATTTTGCTGTCAGAATACTACAGGAGGTTTTATGTAGTGGATTGTGTAAAAAGAGGGGGGGCGGGATGCTTCTTGAAAGAGCGGTACTTTGTCAGGTTCTCATAGGAAAATAGGTTTTGGTCATGAGAAACAATAAATGTCTATATCCATAAAAACTTTTTTTAAAAAATTCAGAGGGGAAATTAGTGGATTTAAATACGCATAATTCTCATTAAATAGCTCTTCCAATGCACGTGCAACTGTGCAAGTGTAATCGGTATTTGTGTTTGGCTCTGAGCCTTCTATGCTTCAAAATAGGTAGTGTCCCCGTTGTGTCTTGAGATTACTCCACGTGTTTCTGTTCCCTTTGAACGCTGGGCTTTATTCTTGTTTGCTGAAACTAGATGGTTCGGTCTAGGGAAAACATATGGTTAAGTGTTTTGAGAAGGTCATAGTAGTCTTATTCTACTGTCATTCCTCTCTGTATTTTGATGGGGTGACAAAATCAGCCTTTTTTCATACTTTTTATAGCAATTTTAATATCTTTCTAGTTTTCTTAATATATCAAATAATGAAAAGAACTCTAAATTTAATTGACAATTATGGTAAAATAAATTAAAATTTAAAAGCGCTTGAATTTGAGTAATTGATCTCCTAGGTTTAATATTTATTTTACTGTAATTGGTCTTTGCATGTCCAAAATAAATTACAAATTTAGCCTCTTTTATATATATATATCATTGTTTCTCATTGTATATTTACTTTTATATCATAAGAAGTGAGAATTATTATCGAGCTTCACTATCTATAAATATAAATAGTGAATCTTTAATTTAGCCTCTTACCTTTTTTGTCATTTCCCTTTCTTTTCTTTCTTTTTAATTTATTATCAATTTCTTTTTTTATCTTATTTATGTTTTTATTTTGTTTATTTATTTTTCTTTCTTTTTAATTTATTATCAATTTCTTTTTAACAATTGTCTAGATTATTTTTGTTTTAATAAAATTAATTGAATGATATCGAGACCATTACCATACAATTTAGTTTTATACTTGGGCTAAATAAGATCGGTCGATAATTTTTTTTTTTTAATCTCAACTTCATCTTAAAGTTGTTTTTATTGGTCATCTAGGTTGTTTTTGGACCAACCAAGTTGACTGAGTTATGTTAAGACAACTTCAATATAGTTTAATTTTAAACTTATATTAAACAAAAAGTTAAGTTAGTAAGTTTTATATATCAATTTCATTTTTAAATATTTTTCATTAGTTGATAGGATGTTTTTGGACCTGACAGGAATGCTTTTAGGCCGACTAAGTCAACTGAGTCACATTCTAAATATAATTTTAAGCCTCGGCTAAATAAGAAATATGATTAAGAAATTTCAAGGTTGACTTGTTAGGCTGAATTTAATAAAAATACGAAGTAGTTCTTTATGTTTCAGTTTTTTTTATTTTACTCACTATGTAACACAAAACTATAAAATAGTACTACACTAAATGGAATATATTTGATAAATAGTCACCACCTGTATATAATACATCGAGATGAAAATATTTATGTTTATGCTATTTATAAAAATAATTTATAAGACAAATTATTTAGTTATGATTTCAATTCTCTTATTTATAATGCAATGAATATCTAATGTAGATGTAATCAACAATAGAAGGATAACAAGTATAAGTAATATAAAATTCTACCAAATAGGAACACGTCATAAAGATTATAACTCAAAATTTTATTGCTCAATAATTCACCACACCAAGTAGTGTTCTCTTTAAGAAATTTACAAGTCCTTAAATAAAACAAAAAATAATCTAAACAAACTAGAAAACTTAAAAATAATGGAAAAACAATAAAAATACTAAACAAAATAGAAAAAAATAAAGTTATTAGGCATAACATTTAATTTCCTAGACTAAATAAAAAAAAATAACTAAGGAAAAAATTTCCTTAAAAATCTCTTGCACCGGTCATTGAAAAAACTCTTTATTGAGTATAAATTACTCCTATCTTTGTTTTATAAAAGTTCAATTATGACTCTCCAAATTCTTTTCATTAATCGATCAAGATATTACTTATCTTTCACTAACACTTAAAGTAATGAATTGTAAACCTCACACATTTAATTCATTAACATGCATTGAAACCTTGTAACAAATCTACATTTGAGATAATAATAAACCTGTAATTAAATAGATCAACATAACTTAAATTAATAAGTTTTTTTTGGTTGAGCACCTTATATATTATCTGTGTACTCAATCTTTAATTTATTTAAAAATTACAACATTGATAATATCATCATTTCTATTATCATCATTATTTATGATATCATTATCAATATAATCACCGTTAAAATAAATATCATAAATTGATGGAGAATATCAATCCATATTTATCTCATCATCATAAACAAAACCATTAAAATCACCACGATATTCATTCCAATTAAGAAGTTGCCTCCACTCATGTTTATGAAACAGGTTCTAAAAAATAACCATAGATGTGCTACCACTCTTTCAATGATCCTTTAGT